GGGAGGGGGAGCAGACGAGACGAGAGGGGAGCAGACGAGACGCCTGGGGAGAGGGAGAGAGCGCCCCTGGCGGCCCCGCCGGGAACTGCCGCCCCGCAGCGCCCCCTGGCGGCCCCCTGGCATCCGCTGCGACTCCTGACCCCAATGCTACTCCTGACCCTGAACCTTGATCCTAATCCTACCCCTGACCCTAAACCTCGACCCCAATCCTGCTCCTGACCCTAAACCCTGACCCCAATGCTACTTCTGACCCTAAACCTTGAAACACAACTTTGGCTCTGACCCTAAACCTTGATCCCAGTTCTACTCCTGCCCGCAAAACCCAACCCCAATCCTACTCCTGACCCTCAACCCCTTCCCTGACCCTCAACCCCAGCTCTGACCCTAAACCCTAATTCCTGGCCTAGGTGCACACGGGGATCGAGGCTGTGTGGTGTGTCCTCGTGAGCAGGCTGAGTCTGCGGTCCCGGGGGCCGGCGCCCATCCCTGCAGCGGGACAGCGGGGACTGGGAGGCACGAGGCCCCCTGACCACGACGGTCGCTCCCTGGGCACGGCCCAGGGGTCGACACTGAAGGGCTCCAGGTCTGTCTCGTGGCACTGGTGTTGTCGTCGGCAGCTGGAGCCCTGGTGCGAGCTGCGCACCACCCTTCGCTGGGGCACCGCTCCTGAGGGTGACCCCGATGCCAGCCCGAGCCCCACTAGGGCAAATGCAGACCGAGTCGCGTGCCCCAGCACCGAGCCTGCTCCAGCCCGGGCCCCGTGGGGCAGCGGGTCCGGAGACGCTCCGCGTTCATTTAAACAAGCGCCTCACTCTCGCGGGCATGGAGGGAAGCTTGAGGGTGCGATCCCACCCTGCGGACACCCCAGCTCTACTGAGATTTGGGGGTGGGATGGAGCCCCTGGTCACGAAGCAGAGCCCTGATGTCCCTCCCCGGGGACCGGGACCCTCCCCTCGCGAGTCGGGGCTGGTGGCACGTGGCCTGGCGTCTTCCCCCCGTGCTGAGCGCTCCCCGGTTGACCCCCCGCCACTTCTCCAGGCCGAAGCAGAGGGAGACCAAACACGAGACCCTAAAGGCACCGACCTTTATTGGTATTTACAACAGAAAGGTTCAGCTCGGCCCCGGTCCCGCTGGCGTTGCTACGTACAATACAACGCAGGCCCCGCGCCGGCCGAGAGGTGCCTCCGAGCTGCATTTCTGGAGCACACGTAAAGCTTTCGTTCGGCGTGTAACGACCACGGACCGGCCTGCCCTGCCCTGCCTGGCTGGGGGGTCTGGATTTGGTAACCTGGACGTCCCGAAAGGCTGAGATTCAAAACCTCGAGGGGGAGAAGTCTGGTATAAATAGCGGCTTAGAAAGGGTACAAAAATAGAGCAGCCGGGACGGCCTGGCAGGACGAGGCAGCCCGCGCCTTGCTGCCGTCGAGCAGCGCATTTTGCACTGGTGAATATCTGTAGTGGTCCTGTGCAAGCTGCTCCCCAGGGCACCCGGGGCCTCCTGCACCCATCGGGGTCTCGTCTTGGGCACCGGGGCCTCGGGGGCTTTCTCCGACATTCACCCTTAACGCTGCTGCGCCGCGGTGGCTGGTTCCCGGCCGGCCGTGCTACGGGCACAGGGCGCCCCGCTAGCACGGCGGGGCCGAGGGGAAGGGACAGGAAGACAGAGGGGTCAGAAACAGCCCCGCAGCCTCCTCCCCCGGCTCCTGTTCACACGCCTGGGCGTGGACGGGCTCGGGTGAGAAGTGCGCGCACGTTGTCTCATGGCGCGGAGGCAAACGAGAGGTTTTGTTGTCGGGCACTTAGTACCGCAGCAGCTGCGGGTCCGCGAGCAGTTCTGCGCCCGGGACCCGCGTGCGCCCGGAGCGCGACCCTGCCCAGGCGGCACTTGCTTCGGCCAGCTCCACCGCCCTGTTCTTTATTGCTTCGTATTTGGCGCGGTGCAGCCAGCCGCGGCCGGAGCCCTGCTGCCCGCGGCACGGCCGACGAGCTTTGCACAAGACATTTTGCAAAAGGGCGTCATCCTGCCGGCGGACCACCTAAATGAACTGGCTCTGGGTGACCTTAGGCCCCTCTGGCTTGGGAAAGGTCAGCCATGCATCCCCCCCCAGCAGGCAAACCCCTGCACCGGCCACAGGTGTTAGTGACCACAGCATCGTTCACCCGAGAGGCTTGCACTGAAGACACCCGCCAGGACCGCGACAAGCTGAGCACAGGGCATTCCCCCTCCCCTGCGTCCCTGACCGGCAGGGGCTGTGCCCTACTAGCACGTTTCCTTCGGGCTCCGGAGAGGCCCTAGCAGAGATGTCTCCTAGTTCCCAGCGTCCCAGAGGTGACCGGGGAGGAGGCAGAGCTGGGATTTCGGGCTTCCACCCCGCTCCCTGCAAGGAGAGGTCACGCAGGAGCAAGCGCGTCGCCTGCATGGGCTCTGGGAAAGCCGCCTGCTCCGCTGGGCACAGACGCTGCTCAAGGTGCACCAAGCGGATAAAGCTGGTGGTGAGGGCACGGGGAAGGCCTCGGAAAAGGAAGCCGAAGAACGGCCCTTTCAGTACGGCGGTAAAGCATTAGACACCTTCAAAGCTAAGAGGACCTGAGTGGCTGGACTGGCGCGAGGCTCAGTGCTCCCAGGGGGCACGTGTGGGGCAATTAAGAGCTCGGGAGAGAACAGGGCAGCGTGCAAACGAGCCCCCTGCCCTGGCTGGGTCAGCGCGGGGCTGCCCGTCCACGGGGCCGTGGGTTCAGTGGGGCCGAGGCGGCCCCGGTGCTCCCAGGGCCACGCAGAGAGCGGCTTGGGGCTGAACACAAGGGTCCTGGCAAACAAGTGAGGAGCCACGGCCGGGACAGGAGGAGGAAGACGCTTGTCCAACCTCGGGGCAGGGTCGCGGAGCGGGGTGCAGTGCCCCTGGCACTGCCTCCCCCCCGCAGGTCCCCCGACTGCCCTCCGCGCAGGACCCTCTGCTGCCAGGCAGGTGCCAGATGCCCCGGCTGTGGGAGCGGGTGGTCCGAGCTTCCCGACTGCCTACGGCCCAGCAGCGAGACCTGGGGGCCCTGCTGCCCGGGTGAGGAGCCACCAGCCAGCCCAACCCACAGGCACTTCTGGGCTGACCCCACCACTGCCGCCCCATCCAGGGCTTTGCTAGTGACCGCTCACCCTCACCCACTGCTGCCCGCACTGGGCAGGATTAACCGCACCCAGGGGCAGCTAGCGGCACAGTGCCTACAGCCACAGCTGTCCCCGAGGCCAGGCGCGAACCGCAGACAACGTGCTCCAGGCTCTCGGCCCTTCCCTGGAAGCCCCCAGGACACTTCCTCCCCTTGAGAGCAGCCAGGCCTAGCAGCATGTGCATAGCAGCTCAGTCAGTGCTGGCAGAGCAAGGGGGGCATGGGAGGGAGATGCCCATTTGCCCACAGCAACACCAGCTTTCCAAACACCACGTTCTCTGGGGGACAGCGCGACTGTCTGGGCCCCACGCTGAATCCGGAGCCCTGTGCCGTCCTCCAGCCAGGACTCCCCTCACGCAACCCCGACTCTGGGGGCTGCCCTGACCCTGGTAAGACTTCATTAGAAAAGCAAAGGATGTTGAGGGGGGCCGAGGGGCCAGAGCAGCAGCCCCGGGCACCACGGGCTCCGCAGGGCTGCATGAGCTGAAGACAGACCCTGTCCCGGCCCCTCGCTGCTTTGTGCTGTTCAGTCCTCTGGCTGGGGCAGGCTCCACGGTGGGTGCGGGAGCGTCCCTGCTATGCCGCAGCTTGGCTCCCGGCTGGTGGAGAAGAGAGGCAGCAGAGCCCTCAGGCTTGGCCCCACCACGTGCATGGGTTTGGCCCCTGCCCTCCGGGCTCACGGGCACGGGGAAGCTCCCGAGAAAAACGGATCCACAGCGCTTCCACCTGGCTGCAGGACCAGGCGGTGTTGGGAGGAGCCGGCGCTGCTCCCCTGACTGCAGGGGCCTGGCTAAGCAGCCTGGGGTTAAAGCACCAAGGGGGGGGCTACACCCCCTACTCCCAAGAGCTGCCCCAGCCCCTCATGTGCATTCACCCCCTCATCACGACCCCCCAGGGCAGGCAGCTCACAGCTCCACACCGCCCAGGCCGAAGGCACATTTGGTAAGCAGTAAAAATGGCTTAATACCCCAGTGAGGATTAGTTCGAGTCGGCTCCTGTTGCTGCCATCGCCCCGCCAAACCGGCGGCCCCCGGCTCGGAGCAGCCAAGCACCGTCCGCGGAGGGGCTGAGCAAGGTGAGGTCAGACCCTCCCCATCCCGAGCTCAGCCGCGGGCAGGCAGGGGCGCAGCTCAGGAAGGCAGGGCTGCGGTGCAGGCAGCCAGCGGCTCCAGGAGCAGGGCTGCCACTCAGCCGCGAGCCCCGGGGCCTGGTCAAGGCACTAGTGTTGCGGGAGAACGTGGGGACGCTTGTGCTTTGCCGCTGCGGGGATGGGGGCGCGGCGCTCCGGCCGCCCTCCAGCCCCTACGCGAGTAGCCCCATGCGGGTGACCTTGGCGGACAGGAACGTGTGCAGCACGAACACGACGGGCTTGGGGCAGGAGTGCAGGTCCAGAGTCTGGGGAGGAAGGACAGGAGGCTCCGTCAGCTCCAGGTGCAGTGCAGGCACCTGCCCCAGGCTGAAACATCACTGTATGGACCCAGGGCACCCCTCCCGACCAGCCTCCCCCAGCTAGGGCAGCACCAAGGGCGGACTGGCTCTGCCAGCATGGTGCATGCATGGGTCAGCTGGATGCACCCAGCCGCGTGCGAGCGGGAGCTCCCAAGGCAGCTGCCCCACAGGAGGGCTGCGACTGCCAGCAAGGCAGGTGCTACCATCCAGAACTAACCCCCGTGCCACCCTAAGCCCTGGCCACCGAGGGACCCGGTCCACCACCCGCCCAGACGCGTCCTCACCAGCTCCCCTTCGGGGCCGCCGAAGTCCAGGTAGAGGTTCCTGATGCCGTCGTCCGCAGACATCCTCAGCCTCTCGTAGGGGTAGCGGAAGAGGACGCTGCTGGCACCTGCCTCGTCCCTGGAGATGGTGAAGCCGCTCTCGTAGTGAATCGTGAGCTTCGCCTCCTGGCCGTTCAGCGTGCAGCCTGCAGAGACAGCAGGGCCTCAGGGCTTGGCCACACAAACCCAGCCCCCGAGCCCCATGCTGGCCTGTGCCCCCGTAGCCCGGGGGGAAGCAGCCCCCAAGCTCACCCAGAAGCGTGCAATGACGGTGAACCACGAGCTGGCCTGTCTCAATGCCCGGGCACTGCCACGGGCACGAGGGCACTCAGGGCTCCTATCTGGAGACGGATGGTCCCTGCTGAAGAGCTCAGAGCTGGGAATTCACCATGCAGCTGGTAACCCGGCTCCGCTGCGGGTACAGGCCACACGGGGACAGGGGCAGTGCAAGCGTGCGCTGGGACGGGGGACACAGAGGAGGCTCTGGGGGCAGCGCTGGAGCCAGGACTAGATACATCCTGTAACTGAGCTGAGACTGGACGACCGACCCCCCGCTGGCGCCCTGGACCACGTCCCAAGCAGGCCGTGCTGGCTGCATCCGGGGACAGGATACGCCCCTCCCTGCTAGGGATCTCTCCCTTCCGTCTCGGGCAGTTGCCCGAAACAGTATCTGTGCCCAGGAAGTGCCAGAGATTGCTCAGGTTTTGCTTTCGCAGCCCCCCCCAGGGCGCACGGGGACCGGGCAAGACAACGAAGCCTCCAAGAACGCCTGGCACCGGCTCCCCACCCCGCCCAGGCTCAGCCGCAGGCACGAAGCGTTCGCAGGCGCACACGAGCCCAGGGCAGCCAGAGGAGCCTCGCAGAAGCTGCTTTCCCCCGTTTTGTGGCAATGGAAACACCTGCGATGGGCAGGCACTCACTGCCGGATCCTGCTGCTGGAGAGGGCCCCCGGGCCCTCCCAGAAGCAGTCCCCCCCACCCCCAAGTGCAATTTTTAGGCCATTGGGTCAAACGAAGGTGGTTTTGAACAGCTTAAATCAATCCCTGCATCACTGAGGACTTTGCAACCAGCCCTGCCAGACGGTCCCGATGCTGTTCCAGGAATCGGGGCTGGCAAGACCCGAATGTCTCGTGCCACGAGGGCAGCTTGCAGGCCCTGGCGACACACGAGCTCTGCCCCAACGGTGGGCAGCCACGGCGAGCGCAGAGGCCCGGGGAGCCTGTTGTCGCAGCACCCCGCTTGGTGCTGGAAGTGGGGCCAGGCCCTGCCCTTGGGGAGGCTCTAGGAAGGGGGTGCCCAGCTCCAGGAGGCTCACACCCATCAGAGGGAGCAGCCTGGGAGTATCGCTGGTAATCTAGCACTCAAACCAGCTTTCTGGCACCACCTCCAAGCCACCCGAGACCCTTTGCAGACACGTTTCCATCCCTATGTGAGCAGCATGCTCTTGGGGTCTGCTCAAAAGCTGGCAGGAGCCCCGTGCAAACCCCAGCACCAAGCCGATCGCTCGTTAGCTCAGCTGGAAGAAGCCACGGACCCTCCCAGGGGCTTTATGGGGGGGGCTGCGGCTGAACCGGCTCCTCCTAGGAAGGAGCCCCACACCACTTGGTACACAGCGGGGCCGGGCAGGAGAGGCCTGGTGAACGGCACCAAGTCTAGGGCTCCCCAGGCCTCTCTCTCCTTCCAGCTGCAAAGCTGCTGTTCCAGGAGGGTGGGACGAGGCCGGCCGTCTCGCGTGGCCCCCATCCAAACACCACCATGCTGTATGGGGAGAAGGGGTGGGAAGGACGGGGAGGCTTGCCCTGCTCTCCACGGGGCTAACCTTGTGCAAACATGCCCCTCGCTTCCTTCCTGCACACCCCAGCCCCGGCAGCCGGCGGAGCAGGCCGCTCCCTCTGGGCGCTAGAGGGAGCTTCCAGCCCAGGGCTCGAGCCGAGCCCAGCCCCGGCTTCCGCCTTAGCCGTCTCCTCGCACCGCTGGGCGCCCCAGCGCGGGGGCCATGTACTGACTCCCGGGTGCAGGGACTGGTCTGGCTCCTTCACACCCGCCTGCTTGGGGGCACCCCACGAGGCCCTAACAGCACCCCCATCTCTGCCCTTGACATGAGAGGCAGCCATGGGCCTCCTAAGGCCGGCCAGGCTGCTAGCCCGGGCGCTCAGCTCAGGCTGCAGTGGGGGCAGTAGCAGTGTCCCCCAGGGCCCATCCTCCTCCCCGACCCTTTCATGGGGTGCTCATGCCAGAGGGACCGTCCCCTGGGGTGGAGTGGCAGAAATGGCTTCGTGGAACAGACTGTGGCGTTGTGCACTTTGGGACTGGTGCCAGCACGTCCCTGCCGGGCGGCGGGTCAGACAGGAGGCGGCGAAGAAGAGAGGGGCCGGGGCGCGCTAGTCCCTGGCGGCTTGTGGCCATCCTACTGCTGCGGGCAAGCCTCAAGGACCCACCCAGCACTGGGGAAGTTACAGCACCCTCGTCTGGGGCGTGAGCAAGGCCCTGTTTCAACCAGGCCTGGTCACTCGGGTTAAAGAGCCTGATTAAATCCAACTGTGATGGGTAGAGACCAGGGCGCTGGGAAGGACAGGGGAGGGGGAGGCGCCTGACAGCGCCCGGCTTGTTCAGCGGAGCAGAAGCGAGGGTGGCGAGGGGATACAATCACGCTCTATAGACACGGGGCGGCAGAGCGCTGGGGACGGGAATTGCTACTGAAGATAAACAACAATCTCAGCAGGAGATCAACGGCTGCAGAGGGGCAGGGACGAGTCGAGCCTGCAAAGCGGGGGGCGGGGGGGGGGGGTGTGTGCATGCGTGCATGTGTGTGAGCGCTGGGCGCAGACTCCCCACTTCAGCTGGTAGCCTTTCTGCCCATGCTGGGCCCATCTGGCTGCAAGGTGGGGGCAGGAGGAATCCCCCCCTCCCCTGGTCAGATTAACAAGGACCCGTGCTGGGTTTCTGGCTTCCCTCTACAGCCCGAGGCTGGGTCCCCTTCCCCAAAGCTGTCCAAGTGCACGTGAACCTAACAAGTACGCCCCCTGCTCTTGACCCCCGTCACGCTGAAGGGCTCTCGCAAGACACTGCGTTGGCTGCAGTGCATGGGAGGGGCAGTGGACATGGGGACCCTCGGGGCAAATGAGCCTGGACCTGATGGGATGAGAGGCTCCTTCCAGCCTCGAGCTCTGCCTCCCATGGGCAGAGCCATCTGGGCAGCGGGCACCGTGACAGCCTCTCTCTGCCCCTTATGCTCCAGGGGTACCGGCCAGTATGGTACCAATGAGGTGCCAGCCAATCACCCTTGCACTGGGGATGCAGACACAACCCCCAGGCTCCTGTTGGCTGAAACTTCTCACCAAGGCTTCCCTGGAGCCATGGCTGGGACACTTGGCTGCAAGGCTGGAAGCTGCTCAGGGCACAGCGGGGGCACAAGTGTTGCGAGATAATTGCTTCCATTTGAGACTGCTGCGTCTGCCGGCAACACGGACCTCACAGCAGCCTCCACGCTCACCCCCCTGCCACCATCGCAGCACCAGAGCTGCCCGGCTCCTAGCACCCGGGAAGGTCTTTCCATGCCAGGGGACGTGGCTTTCTCCAAAAGCCCACGCTCCTCTTTGCCTCCTGTGCCTCGTCCAGGCCCTGTGCATCTTAGCGTGGGATCATGCCCTCCAGCTGGGTCCTGTGTGGCTCAGGACAAGCTCAGAGACCTCCAACCAGAGGCTCAGCCCCGGGAAGCTGCCAACACCGGGGCCTGGCTGCAGGTAAGCTGCCTGCCTGCCTGTGAGGTGAGACAACCAGGGCTCTGAGCCATGACTGCGCTCCGCTGTGTGCGCTGTACCTAGGACCACCTCCTTGATGAGCTCAGCAGCAGCGTGGCAGCCTTGCACCAGGACCCGGGTCCAGGATGAGAGGTCCCGATGCGTCTCCACCCGGAAGACGTGCATCTCGATGCCCTGACGGGAGCCCGTCCGCGTGGCAAAGGTGAGCTCGGAGCCGAGGCACGGAGACCGGCGCCCTGAGCCAGAGTGAACCAGCCTGCAGGAGAGGACAGGAAAAAGGAGGGTAGTAGAAGGGAAGGAGCTGACCACAGCTGTATGGGGCTTGGTTAATAGATACGAACCAACCCGCCACCCCTGTCTCCCCACAGCCAGCCCCGAACACCTGGCTTCACCCCCACTGCTCAGACATGCCAGAGCCCAGCTCCAGTGCCCTGCTCTCCCCAGCACATGCTGCATGCTGCCTTTCAGGGTGCCCCTGCTACCAGCCACTGAAAGGTCCATGTGTATCCAGAACAGCACCCCAGCACCAAGTACGGGGAGGGGAGGCCTGATCAGCCTTCACGATGATGGTACCCAGGCTGAGTGCGGCATGCGGGGACACAAGTGAGTGCCTCTGTCCGCACGGCGCTGGGAGGGAAAGCGGATGCCGGCTCCTCATGGGGCCATCTCGTGGACAGCCCAACAACGGGAAGCACTTGGGAGACCTGTCGTGCTGCGACGGCACATGCAGGCTTCCAGCAGTATTCGTGTGCACAGCGGCACTGTTGGGGGCCTTGTTGGGATTGCTTCCCCGCGGCAAGCAGGAAGTGATCAGCTTGCAGCCACCGTGGTAGCCTGCTCCCCGGCATGCCAGGCTGGGAGACCCGGGCCCAGCTCTGACCTCAGCTGATGCTGGTGGGTGCAGCTGGAACCACCGGTGTTACTCAGCACTGGGTCACCTCCCTGGACGGAGCCAGAGCAGACGGTGCATGTGTCACTAAGACCCCCCAGCTCCATGCAGCAGTGTCTGGCGGGGGGG